GGTCGGATGCCGGTGTTCCACAATATCTTCGCGTTCTGCTCTTTAAATATTTTTCAAAAGGATTTTTGACGTCGGGGGCTTCGGGGAGGTCCCACGATCCTCCGTAGACGTTTAATCTGCCCATTACGGAAAGTCTAAAATTTCAAACACAAACGATATCAACGACATACAGACATTACATGTTGTATTTTTGTATTATTACTTGAATGCGATTCGTCTGTAGGGCACATCATCCAAATACGGGCCGATTAACTTCTTCATGACGACCATTGGGACCAACGAAATTGATTTTCGCGAATTAAATCCGAACAGTTTTCCAATGGTCGCCAGGCTTCGTTTCACTGGCTTTTTCAATAGGGAGGCGTGTTTCAATCCTATGTGCCTCGTCATCTTATTGTCCTGCGTTTTGTATTTACACATAGGGCAGTACTTCAGAAGCTAATGGAAACGATTATTTGATGATTAAGGTTCTTTTAATTGGATTATTCGCTTGTGTAAAAATGACTTACGCGATTATGATCGAGTCAATTTGGTGGTCGAAATTGGTGTCTATTCGGGCCGGACGCCGCGTACCGTTGTCTATATTCAAAGGGCTCGGCGCTACGGAAATTAAAAATTATAATTAAACAAATCACGTCTCACACGAGGTCTTAAGAATACTCACTGTCGACGATGGAAGATTCATCGTCCGAGCGAATTAGAGCTGAAACCAGAAGTAGAAAAGTATAGAAAACAATAATAGAATTTTAACTATAAAATTAATAATACCTTCTTCGAAACCGAATGGTGATCGTCCATTATCCACAGACGACTCAGAAAATATGGGCGATTGGTCCCTTGAAGGCTTGTAACATCCTGAGGGACCAGCTATCGGGGACAATTCATGGTGATCGACGACCGCAATCAATTATTTTTCTCTATTTTCCGGTACTGTAAAAAAAAAAAAAATAATAATAATTAAACGAAACACGTCTCACACGAGGTCTTAATAATTTACCCGTCCGGACAAACCATCAAAGCTGAAACGAGAATTAGAAAAGTTGAAAAAACAATGATTGAACTTAAACTATGAATTTTAAAATACTTTCTTCGTTACCGTATCGGACTCTTCAATAGTCTAACTCCAGCTCTTTTCCACCGACAACCGCAATCGATTTTTCAGGTGAATATTTTTCAATCACCGGTACTGCAAAAAAAAATTGTGTCTAGAAAATTATTCTGTTGAAATATCTTAAAACTTACGTTCTTCATCCACGAATGTATATTCGTCTGACGGCGAGGGCGTGTATATGGTGTCCCTATTCATTAAATCCATATCAAATACCGGGGTACCTAAATAAAGCATGTTTAAAGCTGGGTGTAACCTTAAAGAAGATATGTGATGCCAAAACTTACAGTTTTCAACGTTCGTCGACAGCGATTCCTCATCAGCAAACCGCGTATGACTGTTCACGGCTGGGGCATCGGCTGGAGACTCGTATAATTCTGACTCTTCTGAAAAACTCGTGTTCATTATCACATTTTCCACTATTTTTTCGACTATAAAATATTGCATTACACACTATACATTATTACACAGGAAAGGCAAAAAATTAAATTGAAAAATAATTATACCCTTAATGGGCGTCTTTTTATAATAAGACGAGCGGTGGTGAATCTCCACCAACCGCTTCACCACCACCATCTTCGGCCTTTGAACACAACTAAAAAAATCAATATCAATAAGCGATTATAGTTTATGACTGAAACAATTATTCATTTTTAAATAATTTGATGATGTTACCTTTTTCCCCAAGACTTCCGTTGCTCGCCTCTGGCACCGAAGTCTCTAATACAACAAGTCCTTTATCCACGGACGTTGGAGGTGGAAGAGACACTAACATTTTAACAAAAATAATTCAATAATTTATACGGAAGAAAATGTATTCGAACGGGGATACTTACGCTCGTCCTCCCAGTAGTTAAACAGGTCCGGTGACCCGGGTGGTGTGGGGGTGTATATGTTAAGCCTGTCAGGAGAGTCCGAAAAGCGCAAGTGAATGTTAGATGGAGGAACGTCTTCCACCACACGTTGCCCTTCCTCCTCTTCGAACAATTGCAGCTCCTCGCCCTCCTTCGGTTCAACATCCTCGTCATCGCACTTTGCCGGGTCATTCCGTCCGTTTCATCCCGTCCGCCAGCAGCGGTGTTCTCGAAAATGTCCGAAAATGTTGCTACCCGCACCGCCGTCGTCGTTCGCAGTGCTAGTGTTGCGGTATATACGAGTACACTGTCCCTATCAGTTGACAAATATAATATTTCCGTACACGGCATTTCTCAAATTTATGTAAATATATAATTTATTTTTCCGTGCCGACTGGAGGACTCCAACGAGTACGTCGTTCGCAGGTAGCGGATATCTCATTATATTGTCGACATTTTTATTTTCAAATTTTTTTCCGACGTCGTAGTAAGACCCACCCTGGCAGACTTACGCGGCTAGGAGAGAAATATTTTCACGGCTTGAGGCGAACTCGTCGAACGGTTTGTGAGGCGACCAATGGTGTAATAGTTGGAGTATTCCGGCATTGTACCGTTTGTCAAACTGATGCTCTCCGGCGCTTCGTTTCCGCGATATTTTTCTTGTTCCTACAAGTTAGCATATGTTTTTATTTGGCATTGTAGATCATGTCTACTGCAGCAAACGTTTCATCGGCCCTTAACGCTATTACTGCAGGCGAATTATCGATTGGGCAGGCAGCCAGAACACACAGAGTGCCTGAAACTACCCTCCGAGAACTTGTCCGGAAGTTAAAGATTGTTCCTAAAATAGTAAGTTATTGTCTCTTTTGCAATAAACAGTTTTATACTTGTGTTTTTATAAATATATAGGCATCTAGAGGCTATGTAAGACCCAGGACAACGTTAATTTATCTAGGGCCATTGATTTGGTGGAAATGTATGTGTTTACAGTGCGTTCCGGGAGACAGACGTGCCCCGTACAACATTGAAGAAGGCACTCAAGAATCATGATAATATCAGAGGTAAATAGTAAATATTTTTTTCTATTGTATAAATAATTGAGTTACATATTTTTGTTAAAATGTTAGAGTCTCTTCCACCACCACCATAGGTACCTAGGTACTTGAGCAAAAGTATTCAAATAATTTTTAATTATTTAAATGCTCGTTTTTTACATACTTTTCAAAACAGGTATCTGTATTTGAATATTCTTAAAAAGTATTTTTTCTAGTAAGTATTCTATTAATTGTTAAACTAACATTCTAATAGATTTAAATAATAATTTAACTACTGTGTTCCAGAATACAGAATATAATATAATATTATAGTGTATATATGGATAAAGTTATGTAACTACTTATGTTACACTTATAAGTTATAATATATTCACAAGACTTATATTTATTTATTGGTTTTTTTTTGTTTATTATAGTCAACAAATAAGACCTTTTGGATAAATTATTTGTTCACAGAGTTAAATTGAAATTCAATAAAATAAATCATAACCATGTATTACTTATTTGTTAACTGTTTTCAAAATTTACATTAACAGTAATAATATTTAAAATAAAATTGTCAAATTTGTACTTCATTGTTAATTAATCAAACGTTCATAATATTATATAATATCCATTTAGAATTTAGAATATAAAAATTAAAACCATAGTATAAGGAATAATAATTTCTTATAGTATGATAAAAAAATACTGAGTGTTTTAAAAAAATAAATGTGTGCTACAAGTTCTTGATTTTAATTAAATTATTTATCTAAGTAATCACTGTAGCTTATGAAAAAAACTGTCTGTTGTATCATTGTTCGTGAACAAAATGTATCTGAATCACTCAGAACACCCGGCAAAGAAGTTCTAATTCTGTGCCTGATAGTTATTAATATAGCATAGTGTTTACCTACCTACTGAAATAATTCAGATTTGTTTGTTTAATTAATATAGTATTAAAACAATTTTGTTAATTTAACACAAGAAATCGATAATATTTTTAATATTTTTTAATAAATTTAACTTAAACTATATACTCTTTGTTTATTTTATTATGATTGCTTCTAACAGTAATTCAAGAAAGATAATGTGTTTAGTGGTGCAAATGTATGTTTTCTTGCCAATTATAAAATATTGAGTGCTGAGTGCCAGAGTGGGTATAATATTACATATAAATAATAATGTTTATTTGAGTAACAGTACAAAATCTGTAGTAGGGTTCTACACTTGTGGCATTATAACTCAATATTTTTGTAATATTAAAAATATTAAAAACGATGTGGGTCGGGGGGGGGGGGCATTGAAACGATAGACACAATTTTTTGAAATTTGAAATATTTTTTATAAAATAATAAATGTAATTTAGGTACCTAATAGGTTTAATACAATTTTACTATTGCCATGTAATCGTCTAGAAATAGTAGGGCAGTATAGGTACATAACAATTTAATATACATTTAAATATTCTATTATAATATCAATAGGAATATAGGTAATATATTATATTATAATGTTTTAATTATTATTTTGTTTGTTAAGTAATATTTGAAAGACACGCTCTTCAAAAAGATAATAGGACTTAAAGTTTACTTTATTAATAAAAAGTCAATAACATAATATTATAGTACTCAGATAAAAAATAAATAATAATGGACATATTAAAAACCTTGTTATTGTTCAAATGTTACAATATTATAAATTATAATAAAAACATAATATTAAAAAATAAAAATCATAATACATAACCTCAAACAAATTAAATAGAAAAATAAAATAAACTTCTTAAAAACTTTACTTGTAAATATAATTTATAAGTACATTACCTATAAGTGATAAGCCTATACATATATAATATAATATTATCAATATAGGTATCATAAAAACATTATGACAAATCATGAAACCTTTGATACTGTTCAGATATAAATAAATACAATTTAACTATAATAACAAGATACAAATCTATGCATAATATGCCACAAGGAAAAATCATATGAAAAATTACTTAGAGTACAATATAATTTGTAAATTTACTTTGGTGTTTTCATTGACTGAGTGAACTTTTTCTTTCACATCATCATATATTTGCCACGAATTAATGGGGTGCCTAAATGTGTGAGCATGATAATGACCAATTGTTTCATATGAGGTGGTCGATTGTTGTAGGTCTGGCGTTGTTCCCAATCCTCTCAAGTAATATTGGGTCTGCGGTGTGGAAATGGATTTTGGAATGTGATTAAGAAGAATACGTGTGTCCATAAATAATGCATCAGTTGTATTATTTAAATTAATTAAATTGAAAAATACATGTTCCCCGAGAATTACTGTTACCTCAATTATACCATTACACATTTGACAAATTTTAGAGTCGTATAGTTGTTTCATTTCTTGATTTATTAAAAGATTAAGTTGTCTTTTAGTTGGCATTTTTTCTGTAACACAAATAGTTAAAAATGGTTTCTTCTCTGATCGTTCGAATTTGCATGAACTGCAATTTTCCTCTATTTGTACACTTTCATAGTTTTTTAATAACATATTTAACATACTATCAATTGACTGTTCCACAGACAAATATGTAATACCATTCAATATTGGCTCTCCCGAGAACAAACTACTTAAAATCTCAACCCGTTTTCTGTATGTTTGCACTGTTACTCCATCACGAAGTAAACAAAATATTAATTGCCACAATGTACTTTCCTCTTTTTTTTCCATTACATATTTAGTGTATGCAGTGCTGTCGCAATAAGCTACTGCTAACATTTGTACAATTGTATCAAAAGAGCATGTATTTGATAAAACATAATTTCCATTATTACATTTTACAGACATAAATCTTGACGTACAACCATTTTTAATCAAACCAATAACTTTAGTTTTTGAACGAGAATCTATATTTCTTAATAGGATTTCAGGGTGAGGTGTCATGTAGATTGATTTTCTTTTCCTTGAACCTCCCTGGACGTTTCTCCAATTTTCTTCACTGATTTTCTCATATTCTAAATTTGGCACTGAATGTATATTCTGTGTTACATTTTTCACTCTTTCAAATTGGTCAACTATATCATCTTCCATGTCTTTTGATGAGACATGATGCTACACTTATTGATGACCCATTACCCTCAGCTTGCTTATTTTCATTGGTAATTGCAATTTCCAAATTGTTCTGAATCAAATCATCTGAGTTCGTTGTTACACACCAAATATCTTCTGTTATTTTTTTTAATTGATAATTGTTTTCGTGAACAGTGAATTGGTATGGTGGATCGTCTAGTGCCAACTCATTATAAATTGGAGATCTATCATTATTTGATATTATGCTGTGATCTGATGACTTCCTGTAAATTATTGGAGATTTTTCTTTAGTATTAATTTGGTCATTTTTCGATTGTTGAGAGATCATTTTGGCATTCACTAATTTCATAGTGCCATTAAGTGATTCAATATGAGTCTTTAAAAAATCATCCACCCTCATAGGCATAGAATTGACATGCTTGAATACCCTATTTTTTAAATCATTAAATTGACTTTCGATTGCTGCACTCGATGGGGGATTGTCTCCATATTTAAAAGTCTTACACATTATTCCAGACCACGATGGTAAATAGGTACACAAATTCAGTATATCTGATATAATATTTGGTAAGTAGTAGAGGTTGTCGTGATTTCCCATTTCAAATTCAACTTGTTGTTCACACTTCAATGCTATTTCTTTTACAGCCTCATAAAATGGACCTTTTTTGTGGTTGGATGTACAATTTGCGTTATGATTTGTATTTTTGTCTGAAGTAAACTCATATTCTGAGTCATCATCGTCCGTCATATTAACATGCGCAGAGCTGGCTGTTGAATATTGATCTATGGTACCAGTTGCAATCCTCTTACGTAAAAAGTCTATACCCTGCGCAGCGTAAGTATTTTGACCATTGTTTAAAGTACCATCTGTTTTACTATAAATTAGCCAAAATAAATGCTTAAGTATGTTTTTAACGTCATAAAAATCCTCACATAATATAATTTGACCAATCGATCGTACAATAAAATCTTTTACTCTTATATCTGTTAAACGAAATGCTGACCAATTTGTAATAAGTTTAATTACATGAGCAACATCACTGCGAACAAAGCATTGTGGTAAATCTAAATCATTTTTACATAGACAATTAAAACATCCTTCAATGTAAGACAATATCGTATTAAACTGAGTAAAAGCTTTAACAACTGCTGCCATCAAAGCTAATGACATATCGGTTACTACTTGTTTCGGCTTTGGGGCTCTATCTCGAATCCACTCTTCTAACCAATGGTGAATCGAATTATTGTCATGCTTTTCAGACAGCATATGAGAAACTGAATATTGTGATGCTAGCTGCTTATCATGAATAGCAATTTCATACAGCAGTATGTGTTTTGTATTTCGATTAGAGAGTAATAACGGTTTTTTTACTAAGCTACCGGTAGCGTCGATACATATAGTAGGACATTTATTGTATTTTACATATTTCCTATAAACGTTCAATTCAGTTGCACTCCAGTAATGTACAAAAAACCTGTCATATCCAATATCCTTAATAATATTTATATAAGGATTTATATTTTTCATTTTACAGATTGCTAATACAGGGTCATTATCTTCTCTGCCTTGTTTTAGTTCTCTACACTTAGCGATACGTAAGGCATTACTAGTTGGTAAATGACTTGGTTCCTTATCACCAAAATTCATTATTTTATTAGCTTCAAGTCTTCTAGCTGCTGAAGCAGACATTTTACCACCTACAATTTTATCAAGAAAATATTTTTTTTGCCGTGATGACATGTATTTTTTTTTTTCAACGACACATTCATTAAAACACCCTCGATAAGTACAGCGGAACACAGCACGAAAATTAATGGATGGTTTATTATCTAAAACTCCATACAGCTTACTCTCACATGTTGTACACGCTGCAAAGAACTCGCAGTAATTAGTTCCATCCTGGTAAATTTTAGCTCGCTTATAAGACACAGAACAAGAAAATTTGGTTTGTTCCCAAAAATGACTATGCATTATATCTGCCCAAATGCCTGGTTTTAATATACTATAAGTTCTTGATAAAAAATGCTTACGTTTATACATTACATCACCTGTTACCAAACTATTCCATTCCTCGGCACTAAGAGTTATATTGAATTTAATTTCTTTTTCAGTTCTATCCAGAAAGTCATCACTATCAAAATCTTCATGGGAATCGGAATTTTCATGAAAATCAGAATTAATATCTTTGGAAACTTCGGCTTTTTGACTTGATTCTATACACAATAAACTTAAAAAGTTATTCCTGTTACATTTGACTAAGGTGTACAAAGATTTTTCTGAGATTTCGTTCTTTAAATCATTTTTTATAGTTGTCCAAATGAAATGACTTGGTCCAACAATAACGCAATTTTCCTTGAATATAGTTCCTAAGTACTTTTTAACAATGTCAGCTATTGTGTTAATAGGAATTTTCATTTTTCTAGGCATCGTCAAATTGAATATAGATACTTTATTTGTATTTTTTTTTACTTTATTTGTAAGACCTGAAATGATAAAATAATATTTTACAAACTATTTTTGTAGCATTAAAACAATATTAAAATTGTGGTTTAAACAATAAACTTTTTTTTTAAATTTTAGAATTCCGTGCATTTTAACCACAAAATGTTTTTGATTGTCAATAGGTATAAAGTCGTCAAGACTTAACTCAAAATTTTACTGTAGAACAACTAAAAATATCTATGTACTTATTGGCTGTAATTGTCAGTTGTTTTTATTTACATTTTTTTGTGTCTGTCTTCACCTTTCTTCAAATTTGTACTTGGTAGTTAGGAAAGTGAATCTAGTTGGTAATTTACAGGGGTCAAAAGTAAAAGATTCCCAGTAGTTTTCAAAAGCACTGGGAAAAGTTAAAATATTATTAAGTAAAAACGGGAATTTTTACTCAAAATAAGTTTTTGACACACCCCGATTTTGGATTTTGGTGTAACTCTAAAATAAATAATCGTAGAAACATGAAATTATCACTGGTTGTTTATATAAGCATTTTATTTTCATGAAAAATTTTCAAAATATTTTGACTTGTTTCCGGATATACTCAGTTTCCTACTTTTTTTATTTTTTATTTTTATGAAATCAATAAAGTTTTGTTTGTTGGGCTAAAAAGCGTGAAAAATTAATACAAGGCTCCTGATATATTGTTACAATAGCAGTTCAAAAAGGTGCTCTGCTGTACAGTAGGTTACAAGTGGGTCACTGTATAATGGATGATATTAAATTTGAACTCAATGATAGAATATCATTGTACATATAAGAAAAACGATTCTGAGCGGAGACGGTATGTCAGTCTGGGTACAAGACATATTATAAACATATCTATGGTAGTAAAAAAAATTTACCTATAATAAATAGTTCCTTATCTTTTAGCAAATTGGATCAAGATGGTACTTTAGAGAGGTCATTTTTCGATTTTCTCTATAATTATTTAATGCCACGGGAAAAAGTACTGAAAAATTACGAAAAACCGCTAAATATGGGATTTTAATTTCTAACAATTTGTCTATCACCGTAGCAACGAATAAAAAATTATAATATTATAATATTAATTCAACTTAAAGGTTATAATAAATAATAAAAATTTAAAAAATCCAGACTGATAAACCGTCTCCGCTCAGAATCGTTTTTCTTATACAATAATGATATTATATCATTGAATTCAAGTTAAATACAATCCATTATACATTGACCCATTTGTAACCTACTGTACAGCAGAGCGACATCCACTTACCTGATTTTTAACAATATTTTTATTAAGTATTGTGTAGCAAATGACTAAATAAAGAAATAATTTAAAAAATGTATGTATAAATATTTTACACAATTTTTTGCATTTAGTAGTGATATATTATCATTTACTCTACCAACGAATTTTAATTTAGTTTAATTTAATTTATTTTGGTTGGAAATATTATAATATCTACAAGACGACAAATTACATTGTGTATTTACTTTTTAGTATTATATAATTATATTAAATAATTTCCCGAATTTTGGGTTAGAGGCGAAAATTACATTAGATTAGATAAACAAAAAAAAAAAATAAAATATTTAATTATTAAAATATGTTTTCTGAATTTGCTCAGTTGCCTATGTCTATTGATGACACTGCACAATGCATAATATTTTAAAACAACATGATTGAAAAATGTTGCCACAAGGTAAATTAAATAAATCAATTTATAAACATTTTTAATTGCTTTTTGCATTTTACTATTTTAGCATCTTCTGAAACTTGTCAAAAACACAATACCTAATATAGCTTCTCAGTTCTACCAATTCAAAAAATTGGTTTTGTATTTATTATGTCACGGTATCCTATATACGGTATCATATACTATATAATATCTTTTAATCGTTTGATACACTTACCTATGTTTTTAATGATATATTTACCACTTGATAATTTTAGTGCATTTAGGTATGAGAATTACCTACAATATAATATTCTAAAGAAACCTATTCAGGCATAATGTCTACAAAATATTCATTGGGTAGAAGAAAATATATTAAATAGTATTGTAGAAAACAAAAAACTGCTAAATTTTTGTCCTGATGGGCCAACTGATTTATAGGGAGGGCCACTGCCCAGTGGCATAATAAGAACTGCCTTACTTATCAGGTTGTTACAAAATCAGGTTAACAAAAATATATAAAGTGAACGGTGAACAATACCAGATTACCAGCAAATTATCATAAGCGTAGAATGGTGGGGGCTAAGGGGTCTAAAGCTCCCCAGATATTTGTTTAGCACCTTGTGTAAAAGTTTACTGTTTTATACGTCCATATGTGAGAACTGAAAACATTTTCTAATGTTTATTTTGATGTCCGAAGAATATATTATTTCACAATCAAAATTTTGAATACAATTTGCTAATTATGAAGAACTGTATCGATAAAGATGATTTTTACATAGATGCTATTGTATCAGAAATGAACAAAAAAAATTTTTCGAATTTATATAATTTTTTAAAAGTAGCGCTTACAATTCCAGTAAGTTCTGCTTCTTGTGAAACATCATTTTCAGTAATGCAACGAATAAAAACATGGCTAAGAAATTCTATGACTAACGATCGATTTTCAAATCGATTGTTACTTCATATTGAAAGGGACTTTTGCTATGTACAGGTCAGTTATTAAATATTTTCCTCAATAAAGCAAACATTTTAATGCCGCTCTTCAATACCGATATTTATTTAATTTTGCCGCCTAAACCAACGCATGACTTGCTTGTGTCCTAGCGACATGATTTTTGAGCTGCTACTATAAAACTTATGAGGAACCTTTTATTAAATATACAAATTATTTGACAGGGTGAAAATGTATTGACAATAATTTTAACAAAACTAGTAATAAAAATCAAAAATGTCTATACCCATAAATATCACAAAACATCAACATATTTTAAAAATTGTACGGTGTATAGAAAATGGTTATATTATAAATATTTGGTGAATATATTATGTACATATCTACAGTTATTATTTTTTGAGTTACACCTTAAAACAAAATTTATATTTTCAAAAATCTGGTCTTGCTTAAAAATTCCACCCTCTTACATTTTTTTTATTTTTTTTCCCCCGACGCTTTTGAAAACTACTGTGAATTTGTAAAATTTGACCTCTTAAATGCACCAACCAGATTCGTTTTTCAACCAAATTTAATGTGAGGATAGATCTGATATGAAGCTTTTTAGATATAGATTTCACACTGTCATGTCTAACCATCCATGTATGACTGGAAGTCCACTTAGACTTCTAATGTATCTTTCATGTTTTTCACCATAAGCACTGTTGAGGCCAGCTCAACAAAGTTCCATCATCCAGGGAAATAATATTTTGGTCTGATAACTCAGTCTAGTCATGTTTAACCTTTCATGTATGACTAGAAGTCCACTTAGACTTCTAAATACTTTCACGTTTTTCACCATAAGCACTGTTGAGGCCAGCTCAACAAAGTTCCACCAGGGAAATATTAGAATGGTCCGATTACTACTAAATAATATTCCTACTCTCTTTTATAAACCTAACCTAACAAAACTATCCTAATCTATAGAATAAAGTGTCAATAAAGTAATCAGTGGACATTTCTTAGGGAGTAATAAAAATTTATTTTGGTATGATTAGATCAAGATTGGACAAAATAATTAGAAAAATTGTAGCTCAGCGTTAATCGTATATTTGAATAATGTCTTTGTAACTAATTCAACACTTATATATCTCCAGCAGAAATTTCCATGGAATATGAAAGTATCAAGATATCTTGGGGACTATTAAAAAATGTATTTTGTTTTAATCTGATCAACAATAGACAAAATATTAAGAAAAATGAGGTTAAAATTATAACTCAGCGGTCACCATTAATATGAATATCTTTGTATCTACTTCAAAAAAAAATTATGAAATATCTGTCCAGCAGAAATGTCAATAGAATATAAAAGTATTAGGATTAACTTGAAGAATCTCAAGAACATTTATTAAGTGTATCGGACCATTAATGAAGAAATAAGTTCAAAAACCACGCATTCGTTAGTCAAACATAATAAAATACGTAATGTTTGAAAATAATTCTATTTTGGCGGAAATCAGTTGAGCAAGCTATTCAACTATAGTGCATTCTTACGTGTGAATCGTCTTGAAGTAATTGCTGTGTAGGATTCAAAACCTTGTGCTGAAATATCTTCAAATAGATACAGTCATACAGACAGACAGTTCTACGTAGCGCAGAATTCAGACGGACGTGCCGTTGCAGTTGTCCGATTATTTTAACATACGATCATAAAAATCAATATTATTATTTTAATTTATTATTATAATCGTAATTAATTACTTTACATTTTTTTCATCACAGTTACTTTTCTTACAATATCATAAATTTGAATTCTTAATTAGGTAGGTGGCTAAGGTAATAATGGTAAATTGGTAAATGGTATTCGATTGTTGACATTATTATGTGCAACGAAAAAAGTGCATCGTATGTTAAAATAAAAATAATGAAGTATGTTTACAAACAATTATGTATGTTATTTTTTTTTTTTTTTTTTTGAGGGTGTCATTAGACTACCGATTCAATTATTGTAGTGTATCAAATGGTAGTTATAAGAAAAAAATGTTTAGCGCTTGTAAATTAAACCTATACCCATTATTTTAATTAAAAGTATTAATGCATATTTACTAATCTTTGGAGGACCATAGTTAATAAACTAGCGAACCAAAATTGACGATTCGACTACCAAAATGTTTAGAAAAAAAGCTTTACCAGAATCCATTAAAAATATAGTGGTTACCATTTGAAAAAAAAAGTTGATTTTGCTATTGGTACACCTGCGTGTTTAAAAATTTTGAAATTGTTATAAAAAAATTGCTTGTTAAAAATAAAGAAACACGTCTTTTTTCGTTTTAACGAAATTCCATATCATCGTTCCGTAATCG